AATAAAATAGCATTTACATAATGTTGCTCAAAATTATAACTGTTCGAAGCTTCTGTTGTCAATATATGTACATCAGGACACCACAAAGAGCAGAATCCTACAAACAGTTTAGGGGGCAGATTTTCTTGGTATGTCCTATCAATGAATTGCGAGTCCATTGCTAATCTCAAATGCTTTGGTTTCTTCTTAATTTTGTTTTTATTTTATTATTTTATTTACTTGAAAGGCATAGTTTGAGAGAGGTAGGGGAGAGCGAGAGAGCTCTTCCTTCTGCTGGTTCACTCCCCAAATGGCAATGACTAGGGCTGGTCCAGAAAAATGTCATATGCCTGGCTCTCCATCTGTGTCTCTCATGTGGCAGGCAGAGACCTAAGTATTTGGGACATCTTTTGATTCTTTTCCAAGCACTTTAACAGAGATCTGGGTTAGAAGTAGGGTAGCTGGGATTCCAACCAGCCCTCATATGGATGGCAGTGTAGCACGCAGCAGCTTAATCCATTGCATCACAATGCTAGCTCCTTCGGTAAATTTAAAATTAAGCACCTTGGCAAAGTTCTCATGATTCACTGTTGCAGACTAATGTTTAAATACCAATGTATACAATAAGATATAACTTGTGTGATAAGCAATCAAAAATCAATCAAAATAAATCATCTCAGGAAAGATGATGTCTTATTTACTGACAATTAATATAAAAGATGCATATCAACTTCTTAATTATTTTATTATTGTTTTTAATTTCACTATTATTTCTAAGTATCAAAACCTAAAGTTTATAGTCTCCATGTCATGGAATGGTCAGTATAACTTACTTTCCAGATGACCACCAATCAATTCAGACTCTTTGAATGTGTGGTCAATCATATTCATTACTAAGCTCTTCACAAGAAAAATATTCATCCTTTCTCTTACACTTTATTGACAGAGGCTCAGGAATAATTTGGTTTGTATCAATGAAACCTGATAGTATCAATGCCTAAAAGGTTAGTTGTTTTATTTTTCTATTATTTATACATTCATTTTTAAAGACGTTATTTCTTGAAGTTACTCTATATTCAGCATATTCAATGAATTGCAGATAAAGAGTTGAAGAAGGCCATTTTTTCCTGGTCTGAAAAAAGATAAGTTAAATACTAGTTATTGCAATCAATATGCTCTGTGTAATTACTTCTTTTCAACTTCTATGGCTGAATATGTGTTCTTTTCATTAATAATCATCCACAGATGTACACAATGGACTGGCATTGGACAATTCTAAAAGGCTATTGCTTTTTGTCTTGTGATTTATATAAGGTGGGATTCTCACAGTCTGACATTAGGACAAATTGTAAAGTAGGTGACAATTTTTCTTTCTGAGGCTGTTATTCAAGGCATATTCTCATACACAAATTGAAATGTAAAACCGAAACTATTCTCTGGACAATTAAGGCTGTTATTTAGGGTTGCTTTACCCAGACAATTGCCTTAATTCTCTATTTCACTATATACATGTAGCTATCTTGTTAGTCATATGGGAAATTTGTGTGTATCCGTGTGCATTTTGCATTTATACAATTTTGCTAATATAGAGTTTTACATATTTTAAAGTCTATCAAATTATTATTAAATTCTTTGGGATGGGTTCACCCTGTACTGTATTTTAAATTCTTACATTGTCATCACTTATGTTATATTTGAGATTGACATGTTCACATATTGAAATCTATTAAAAATATAATGACCTATTGTTTTCCCTCAGAAAAATCAAATTTGGACAATAAAAGAGCAAGTTGCCAGAAAAAAATATTTATATATTAAGACCCCGAAGTGTCTAATAGCATGTTAATTTTGATTTCTCATTTCAAAATTATAATACATGCCTTTGGACATGCGAAGCTTATATAGGCAAGGTATTCCAAACCATACAAATAAACAAAAAGTCTACAGTATCAAATTAAAGATTATAAATTATAGTACTTCTTGTGAAAGATACTTCTTATCTTGAATAATGCATGAAATAAAATTCAATGAAATAATGTGAGACAACCATAAAAGTCTTCTTTTAATGGATTGTGCCTTAATAAATAACATATTCATTAAAAACCTTCAACCAAATATATTATATACATGTTCACCAGGCTTATTCAGATTAGAAAATTTCACTTTACATAGAATCAAAATGCTTGTAGAAAAAATAAAATACCATTAAGTTATTGTCTTTAAATGAATGTGCTTTTAACTCTGCTTTAGGACATTAAAACTTTATAGAAATATTTTATAGCTTTGAATACTCTTTAAAAATGTTTCTAAATTTGAATTTTTCTTTATTCTAAGTAGAAATCAATAACAACCACCTAATCATAAATACTATATTAGATAACTATCAATCATATAATTTTATAATGTATAGAGATAATAATATAATCCATTTGTCTTTCCTTAAATACATGTTTTCCCTTTCAAAAACTATATAATAACCTAATAATTTTACTTTAAAATGTACATGTATGTGTATATACACATATCATAATTAAAATACTGATCTCATATTTTAAAGGTTTTGTGCTTATCGCTGAGTATATTTCAGCAATTTTTGTGGTTGGGTTCACTTAGTAGTTATGTGGAAACTCATACACATATGAGGATACTTCAAAAAAATGCAAGGTAAATGGAATAAAAATCATTTTTTCATAATACACATTTTCCGTGTTTTTTGTAGGCCCCTTGTACAGAGTGCTAGATAGAACATAATATAAATACAAATAATTCTCCCAGTTTTTACATGGCACAGTATTTTACTGTGAGTCATAACAATTCCAAAATAACAAAAATAAAGGAATTACATGAGTCGAAAAATAGAGAGATGCACTGAGAAATTTTAAATAACTTTTCTTTTTCAGTAATGAATTCAACATGTAATGCTGTACTAAGCATTGAGAATACAGAAATTAGCAAAACAATTCAAGTTGCTACCCTCAAGTAGTTTTCCTGTGTAGGAGGAGAAAAATAATAAGAAAACAAAATAGTATGCAATTTTAGGTGATAATTCCTATTATGAAAAACTTGAAACTAGATAAAAATGTGAAAAGAGAGTTTGTTTTTAGACTAGTCTGCATGGAAGATAATTTTTATGCAGACCAGAATGACATGAAGAAGACAATTACAGGACAATCTGATATGAGATGATCATAGCATCAATGAAAATTAAGTTTACAGATGTCTTGCATGATTTTGCGGCACCAAAAGAAGGTCAGTAAAGCAGTAGTGAAAGAGTTTTAGAAAATTCATTCAGAGGCAATCAAGAGTGCACTTGCATAATAAACTCTTCTGGAATACCAGAACAATAGTGGACAGGAAGAGATCAACTAGGGGATTACCATGATTTTCCAAGAGAAAAATGAAGGTGACTTGAGTGAAGCTGCTATGGTAGTTTGATATGAAATAAGAACATATGAGATACATTCACTAATGCTGAGAAAACTTGCTAATGAACTGGATGTGGAGTGTGATAAAAAGGACTCAGAATAGACCTAAAAGATGAAGCTTTAGCAAATAATAGAATGGATAGTCAGTGAGATTATTTTGTGTGTACAGAAAAATAAAGATTTTGATCTGGGATACACTGTGGTTTAGATGCCTATTTGACATCCAAGTTGAGAGGTGAAGTAGGCAAAAGAACATGCAAGTTTGGAATTCAGTAAAATGAATGCAATTGGAAATGAAAGTAAAGAAGCCATTGACATGGGGGTATCATGCAAAGTAATGAGGGTAAATAAGATTTCTAAATAGTTCAAAATTTTAGATAAATGATTTAAAAGTGGATCTCGGGGATATTCAAATAGTTAGATTTTTGAGTGATGAGGAGAATGCAGTGAAAACATTGAGAAAAAACACTGAAGTGACATAAAAAAGAGACTTCGGTGTTTAAGAGTGAAGGTAGAGGAAATAATAAGTTGTGTTAAATCTGACTACTACATTGAGAAAGATTACAGCTTTGCAGTATGGAGGTCACTGGAAAATTGGTAGCATACTAGAGTGATAGCATCAGAAAACAAGGCCTGATTGAAGTGCATCCAAAGAATAATGGGTAAATATGGACTGCTAATTGTGCTTATGGGAACTCTTAGAAGTCTTCCTGTAAGGGAGGCTAATGCTAGAGAAATATGTGATTCAGAAGGAATTTGAAAATTTGCAAGGCACCAGTTGCTATGATGTATTTATAAAAGGTTGGCAATAATCAAGTGAGAGGACACAGTTGAGTAAAGAAATGTGGCAGAAAATTCCAACAATGATTAAAAGGGAACAATTCAGTGCAAGCAAGAGTAGGAATATTTGTATAGTTTGACTCATTGGAACTGAGAAAAGCAGAATATATAACTATATGAGCAAGCAAGACAGTAGATTTGGTGATGGGAGCAGGTTCAAATTCTCTGCTTATTCTATTTTCTTAATGAAATAAGAAAAAAAGTCCTTTCTCAAACTGTAAGGAAGAAAGGAAGATACAAGAGTCATAAGTAGCTAGGAGCAAGGCAGATACTTCAGAAGTTTAAGGACAGATTTCGTAGCAAACTGGCAGAACTGTTAGGTAGCGCTGAAAGCTATGAAAGATTTACAGACATCAATTTGAAGTTTTCTCAGGAAGCATGGCTATGGTTTTGCATGTGCATTTTCAGGCTCTGAGAGGACAGGTGTAAAGTTTTTATAGAGCTGGGTTTGGATATTGCCAGGCAAGGATATTGACAGTAGGATAAGAGAAAGTGAGTTGAAGGCATATGCAAGAAAACAATTAATGTAGTACTCTGAGTCATTTGTTATTTTTCTTGGTCAATCTACCTACAAATTTGTCAACATTGTTGATCTTATTTTGTAAATGTTATTTGTTTTATTTATTTATTTATTTGTTAAGGTATATAACATCATACATTTCATAAATACAAATGTAGGAACAGTGATTCTTCCCAACCCACCATCCTTCCCATCTGCACTTCCTCTCTTATTCCTCCTCCCTCTCCTATTGCCATTCTTATTTTTCAATAAGATCTATTTTCATTTAATTTTATACACGAAAGATTGACCCTACAGCAAGTAAAGAGTTCAACAAATAGTATGAAAAAAGATGTTTCTCAATATCTGAGACAAGGACTGTTCAAAGTCATTGCATCTCAACGTGTCAGTTTCACTTCTACAGATTACTTTTAGTCTTCTAGAAAAAAATGGTGCTCATTTTATTATTATTCCTTTTTATACTTTGTTATACTCACTATTATGTACAATTACATTTAAGCCTTATAAGAAGAAAGGGGAAAGTATGATGATAAGACCATGTCAGTTGTGACAGAGATCATTTATGACTTCTTCTCCAATATGAATCTTTATTTCTTTCTTTTGTCTAGTTCACATGGATAGAATTTCCAATACATCGTTAAAACAGAAGTGGTAAAAGTAGATACCCCTGTTTTATTTCTGATAATAGGAAGAAGTAGTTCCCTTTCACCATTAAGTGTAATACTTGTAGATTGCCTGTATCAAATTAAGAATGTGTCTCTCTATTATGTGTTTATTGTCTTTAAAATGAATCCGATTTTCTCAAATTACTTTTTTTACAATTATTGAGCTTGTTGTTATTTTTCTTCATTATTTTGTTAATATAGAATATAAAATGATTGATTTCTACATGCCAAAGCAACATCGTTAGAAGTAACCCAAGTTAACCATGATATATAACACTTTGTAGATTTTTATGAAATAAGTTTCATGGCTGTTTGTTGAGGATTCTGCATCTTGTGATGTCTCTGTGTGGTTTTAGATATCAGTAGATGGAAATGAACAATGTTAACAATTTATACAGTGAATTTGTAAATGCTAGCTCTTTTTCTAATTATTGAAAGATTGTGCAAAGGATCAGTATTTATCCTTCAACTGTTTGAAGCAATTTGTACCTTATTTGTTTTATTTTGTGCTTTGCTTATTGTTATCAGTTCAATTGTTTTACTTGTGACAGGTCTATTCAGATTTTTCTATTTCTTTCTGAGTCAGAGTCAGTATCTCATGGATGTTTTGGAAATTGTCCATCTCTTGTAGGTTGTATACTTTGCTGTCATACAATCATCCTATTATTCCTTGTTTGCCTTTTTCTTCTTTAAATTTGGTACTGATACTCCCACTTCCACGGCTAATGTTAGTATAGTGAGTCTTCTGTCCTTGTTCTCGGTCAGTCTACCTACAAGTTTGTCAACACTGATGATTTTCTAGAAAAAAAGAAAAACAGCAATGCTCATTTCACAATTGTTCTTTTGTATACTTCAGTTACATTCACTCCAAACTTGATTGTCTATCTCCTATTTGGATTTGGTTTAAGCTTGTGTATTCTAGTAAGGTGGAAGCTTAGATAATTGATTTGAGATTTTTCTTCCTTAAGCTATGGTTTCAAGAAGACAAGCACACACCGCTACCCCTGTCCTCAGTCTTGCTCTTTATCTCTCTTCTGTTCCTTTCATCAGTTTTTGCAAAGACAAAGTGTTAATTCACTCTATATTCACAGATTTAATTCACCAATAACCATAACATTTAATAAATAAAAGGTAGAAAGACCACAGATCCTCAGGAAGATAAACAAGGGCTAAAAATGACAATCATATAACGAGATGTCTGTTTAATTTCTATACTTTTCGTATTCTATATTAAAAGCCATATTATCTTCAATACTGGCATTTGTATACAAAAGTTTTGAGCTAAGCACAGCCTTTGAAATTTTCCCACAACTGTTAGTGTTGGGTTTTTATTCCCAGGAATCTAATGTATTTTTCACTTTGCCTTGTGATTTTGTCTTTGAGCCACTGCATATGAGATGCATGGTATAACATTTGCACATATTAATGAATAGCTGCATATACATCCGTTTCATATTTCTGAAACAAAATACATGAGTTGAGTGCTTTATAAAGCAAACAAGTTTATTTGGCTGACAGTCTTGGAGGCTGAAAGTCTAAATATCATGGCATTGACTCTTGAGGGGCTCTAACTGCGTCACTTCCTGTCAAAAGCATGTGTCAAATGATAAAGCACATAGCAAGGCAAGAAGCCAGAAAGCAAGTCAGGATTACTCATTTATAATAATCTTACCCCAGGAATTAACTGGAGTACATGAGAAGTACATGCATTGCTTCTAAGGGCAATGTCCCCTATAACTCAATCATCTTCCACTAGACTCCAACTCTGGAAGATTCATAACATTTACAAATCACCATACTTAGGACCAAGTTTCCAACACATGGATCCTGAGGGATGAGGGGGACACACTCAAGCCATATCAGAAACCAAACAATCCTAATCATTTTTATTTTATTGCCTTCTAATTTCATTCTATCTGGTCAGGAATATAACATTTTAAACTTTTTTAATATTGGAATTTGTTTTATGACCCAACAAACATCTATTATGGAGAATGTTTGATGAGCACTCAAAAGTAATACATATTAGGGGCCAGCACTGTGATGTAGCAGGTTAAGTCTCTACCTGAGGAGCTAGTTTGAGTCCTGGCTACTCCACTTCTGATCCAGCTACCTGCTAATGGCCTGGGAAAGCAGTAGAAGATAGCCCAAGTGCTTGGGCACCTGCAGTGGTGTGGGATACCTGGAAGAAGCTCCTGGTTCCTGAATTCAGATCAGCCCAACTCCAGCCATTGCAGCCTCTTGGGGAGTGAACCAGCAGATGGAAGACCTCTCTCTCCATCTCTCTCTCTCTCTGTCTATAACTCTACCTCTCAAACAAATAATATTTAAAGATGTATATTTTATTATTATCAGGTTTAGTGTTCTACAAATATCTGTGAGATATAGTTGACTTAAAACACTGATCAAAACTTCTATTTATTTGTTGACCTTCTATTTAGTTGTTTCATCAATTTCTGAACATGGGTATTAAAATATACAGTGTGATTCAGCTATATCTTCTTTGTTTTATATTTGTTTTTAGTGCATGTATTTTGAAGTCCTATTGTTAAGTGAATGTATGTCTATGTTTGTTTTTACTATTATAAAATACACCTATATTTCTATAGTAACAGTTCCTCTTAAATTCTGTTTTGTCTTACAGAGCCACTCCAGTACCCTTTTTTAGTTCTCTTTTTTAGTTACCCTTCAGTAAAATATCTTGTCCAATTATTTCATTTTTAACCTATTAGTTTTTTAATCCATCAGTGTCTCTTGTAGACACTTTTAGCATAAAAGTTCATCATCATTTTTAACATAGCCATAATATGTATTGTTCTTAAATTTTATTTAAGGTATAAAATTTCATGTATTTCATATATACTAATTCAGTAACATAGTGATATTTTCCACCCTAACCTCCCTCCCATCCACTCTCTACCCTTCATCCTCCTCTCTTTTCTATTCCCGCTATTTTTACAAATATCTGTTTTCAGTTTACTTTTACTCATAAGGTTAACTCTACACAAAGTAAGGAGTTCAAAAAATAGTAAGAAGAAAAAAACACTGTTCCTCAACATTTGAGTCAAAGACTACAAACAATCATAGAATCTCAAAATCTCTATTTCGCTCCTATAGATTACTTTTCGGTACTCTATAAGTTACCACAGATCACGGAAAACATAGGCATTTGTCTTTGTGGGACTGGCTTATTTCACTAAATATAATGGTTTCCAGGTGTACCCATTTTGTGGCAAAAGACAGGATTTGTTTTTTTGTAATCACTGAATAGTACTCCATAGTGTATATATACCATAATTTCTTTATCTAGTCATCAGTTGATGGATATCTGGGTTGATACCATATCTTAGCTATTGTGAACTGAGCTGCAGTAAGTAAACATGAGGGTAGAGATCACTCTTTTGTATGCTGATTTCATGGCATTTCCTTTGCTACTAGACATCTTTATACATATCACAAGTATTACTTTATTTCTATAGTGCAGGCATATTTTCTGTTATGTAGATATTCTCTAGTTACTCTTTTCATTTGTCATTTCCTTTATTTTACATTTTCTGAAATGCTTCTTAAGTGATTCCCTTGGATTATAAAACAGTAAAATAATATATTTATTGTTCATGGCATGTTAATTTCACTAATTATAAAAGTTCGCTTCAATATACCTGCTTACTCCCCTTGGTTTGTTATTATTGTTATATGAGCATACTTCAAAAAGTTCATGAATATTACATTAAAAACCAAGTTTATTTTGGTGCAAAATCTTTTGAAATTCATCCATAAAAAGGGTTTTCAAAAAGTTTTGGGAAAATGCTATTATGGAAAAGAAATGCATGAATTTCAGATTTTCTTTTATGCCCAAATAAACTTATATTTTATTTACAATTGCTATGAACTTTCTGAAGTATCCAGATAGATAAGTAGATGATGAGATAAGTAGATAGAGACATTTATCCCATCTTATCTCATTGTTTTTTGAGGCCACATTCATCAGATTTGTTAATGTCAAATCTCTTTAATGCAAAAGCTTCATAACTTTGTCTAATAAGAGTTTCACATATTCTCAGAATTAGCTTTAGCAATTAAAGGTGACAAAAATATCTGTTCTCTATAAAAATGGTTATAATTTTACCTTAAAGAAGCATTTGATCCATTTGGAACTTATTTGTTTGTTAAATAAGAAAAGTAGAAAGTATTTTCTTGTTACTAAAGAAATAGTCATGTTTCCATTAAAGATGTCTCATTGAATAATCCAAGCCTCTCCCTCTGTTAAATCTGTAATAGATATTTAAGGGCAATAGCCAAGTCTTTTATGTTCAAATATGATAAATAATACTTTGCCAGAACCCTTATCTTGGGACCCAGTGGAAGCCTGAATGGGATAGGATAAAATATAATCAGTAATCTGAATATTAATAGTTAACATTCTATTAAATACAATACTTTTGCTAAGGTTGTATAAGCAAAATGATAGAGACAGATCTTTACCAACACCTATGTGAATTATGCTCTCCATACTCAGTACTGTTGTGATCATGGGAACTTTTGGGCAAGAAATAGCTCCTTAGGGAGCAAAACTGTAGCACACTGAGGTTTTTCTTTGAGTGAATATTCAATTTTCAATAAAAGAATTTCCTTCATTTCCAGGTTAGAATTCTTCACAATGTCTGGCCTAAAAAATATTATCATTCTGTTCTTCATCCTTGCAGTTTCAGTGTTTTCCCAACTCCCACATTTCTAATCCTGTTATTTTTACAGATAGCCCTTCCACAAATCACCAATGCATATTGGATTAGAAGGGAGAGATGACTTGTCTTTTGAGTTTACATGTGTGAAACCAGAAGTAGTTATTGAATGACCTACCAGGGAAGACTATGCATTACATAGAGATACTGCAAATTGAGGTGGATATTGTCTCTGCTTTCCTCAATTTATATGGACATTTTATGTATAGCCATTGGAATACACACAGAAGTGACGTCTAACACTTGCAGGCCTTTCCCATACAAATGTTGTTATATGCATGTTTTCCTTGTTCACAGATGGCAGTAGTGATGCCCTGAGTAATCTTGGGGTCAAGTGTTGAAGGTAGAAGACTTACAGAGGCTCCTTGACTGACTGCCTGCAGTAGCTCACCCTTCCTACCTGGCATGACTCTTGATTGTTACCTTTGCTACAATTACATTTTTATTTACGTGAGTCATTGTGTTTTACATTTATTTGTAATTGGAATTTGAACTGCCTAATATCTTATACTTCAATTAATATAAATAATATAAAATATAAAGCCATTCGTCTCTAATGGTTATAGTGTTTAATAAATCATATTCTAGCCAAAAGAAAATATATATGTTACTAAATATTAAATTTAGCACAAATACCTACTATATCAAGAAGTGTTATAGGACATTAATATTAATGTTAGTCTTTTTCCACTAGTTGAGACATTATACTAGGAAGATATATTTTTGGTAATTTCTTTTTTTATTTGAAAGGAACACTTGCTTTTATATATATACTATGAAATATATATTATATATATTATATACATATTATATATATAATACATATATATACATATAACAGGTAAAGTTGCCATCTGCAGCACCAGCATGCCATATGAGCATTGGTTCAAGTCCCAGATGCCCCAGTTCCCAGGCAATGTGTCTGGGAAAGCAGCAGAACTTGGCTCAAGTTCTTGTGCCCCTGCACCCACTTTGGGAGATCAGAAAAAAGCTCCTAGATCCTGGCTTTGGATCAGCCCATCTCTGGCCATTGTGGCCATCTGGGGAGTGAACCACCATATGGAAGATATTCTCTCTCTCTCTCTCTCTCTCTCTCTCTCTCTCTCTCTCATATTTTAGCCACTATATTACAAGCTGAATCCTTCCATATGCAGGAATATTTATATGTGTGTTTTAGCTTTGATTTTTCTGTTTCACATTATAATTCCATTAGATCCATTGGATAAGGATCCACTGTATTATCTTTTTTTCAAGATTTATTTATTTATTTATTTGAAAGTCAGAGTTACACGGAGAGAGGAGAGGCAGAGAGAGAGAAAGAGAGAGGTCTTCCATTGGCTGGTTCACTCTCCAGTTGGCCTCCATGGCCAGGGTGAACTGATCCGAAGCCAGGAGCCAGGAGCTTCTTCCAGGTCTCCCATGAGGGTGCAGGAGCTCAAGGATTTGGGCCATCCTCCACTGCTTTCCCAGGCCATAGCAGAGAGCTGGATCAGAAGTGGAGCAGCCAGGAGTGGAAGCGGCACCCATATGGGATGCCGGCACTACAGGTGGCAGCTTTACCCACTATACCACAATGCCAGCCCCAACTATATTATCTTTACACAGATTTTTTTTTTTTTTTTTTTTTTACAGGCAGAGTGGACAGTGAGAGAGAGACAGAGAGAAAGATCTTCCTTTTTCCGTTGGTTCACCCTCCAAGTGGCTGTTATGGCTGGCGCACAGCACTGATCTGAAGCCAGGAGCCAGGTGCTTCCTCCTGGTCTCCCATGCAGGTGCAGGGACCAAGCACTTGGGCCATCCTCCACTGCACTCCCGGGCCACAGCAGAGAGCTGGACTGGAAGAGGAGCAACTGGGACAGAATCCAGCGCCCTGACCGGGACTAGAACCTGTTGTGCCGGTGCCGCAGGCGGAGGATTAGCCTAATGAGCTGCAGCGCCGGCCATCTTTACACAGATTTTTGTAATGTTATTATCCTGGTGCTATGGATTGAATGTAATTTATCCCCCAAAGTTTCATGTTCTAGAAACTTGGTCACCAATGTGGTTGTATTCAGTGGTGGAACCTTTAAGATGTGGGGCCTAGGAAGGTTATTGGGTAATGAGACACTAGGCAGTCCTCAGAGGGATTTATGCTGGTCTCATGGAGTGAATTGTTCATCACAAGAGCAGGTTGCTACAAAGAAAGGCCGTCCTACATGCTTGGCTACCTCACCACCCAGCCATTTCCTTTTCCAGTTTCCCTCCCTGTTGTTACACAGTCATGGAGCCCTTAAAAGATGCCAGTGCTGTTTGGACCCTCCAGTTATCAGAAGTGAAGCAAAGTTCTTTACTTTATAAAGCACCCAGTCTTGGGTATTTTTTAATAGGAACACAAGTAGACTAAAACACTTAGTTACAATTCTTTATTTTTTCTTTAACAATCGGGGTAAGATATTCCACACTCTCTTTAAGATATTTATGGCGGTCAGTGTTGTGATATAGCCGGTAAAGCACCACAGCCTTCAATGCCAGCACCCCATATGAGTACTGGTTTAAGTTCCTGCTATTCTACGTACAATCCAGCTCCCTGCTAATGTACCTGGGAAAGCAGCAGAGCATGTCTCAAGCACTTGGGCCCTGGCCACTCATGTGGGAGATACAGATGGAGCTCCAGGCTCTTGATGCTGGCCTTGCCCAACTCTGGCCTTTGACATTTGGGAAGTGAACTACTAGAAGGAAACTCAATCTCTCTCTCTCTCTCCCCTCCCCCATTAACTCTAACTTTTAAATAACTATTAAAAAAAAAAAAGACATTTATGGGGGCCAGTGCTGTGGCGTGGCGGGTAAAGCTACTGCCTGAAGTGCCAGCATCCCATATCAGCAGCGGTTCAAGTCCCAGCTGCTCCACTTCCGATCCAGATCTCTGCTATGGCCTGGGAAAGCAGTAGAAGATGGCCCAAGTCCTTGGGACCCTGCACCCGTGTAGGAAGACCTGAAGGAAGCTTCTGGTTCCTGCCTTCTGGCTTTGCATCGGCATATCTCTGGCTGTTATGGCCAATTGCGGAATGAACCAGTGGATGGAAGACCCCTCTCTCTCTGCCTCTCCTCTATCTGTGTAACTCTGATTTTCAAGTAAATAAATAAATCTTTTTAAAAAAGACATTTATGACTGATAATTGCCTATAGATGACAGCGTGGCCTTGTCGTCCTTCTTGATTATTTCTTTTCCCATGGCCTTAGGATCCAAGGGATCAGTAGTAAAATTGTAAACTATGGGAGAAAGTCCTAAAACTTATACCCAAGTCAGCTTATTTCACTTCCCTCACTTATCTGACGATCCTACTTTCTGTTCAGTAGGTTTTCAAGACAGATGTTACATTTTCAAATCAAAGAAACATACTTAAGTTGTTTCTCATGCACACTTACTCTTAGTCACAAGTGGAGACATAGGATGCCTTTCATAAACTCCAGCCTGCATATACATGAAGCAGCTATGTCATTATTATAAGTGATTTCAGCTTATGAAAGAAATACCTGAAGTGAACAAAAAAGGAGAGAAACATGAAAACATTCACCCTTCTGCAGCAAGCATGTTTACTTTCTTAATGGCCTATTCTTTTTTATTTCCTACCTTTGCAGTCCTTTTCCGCTATAATTGTGCCAAGACTGACAAATATTGGCTGAGAATATTGCCAGGTAGATAAATATCCTAATATCTGCCTATTAGGAGGCACAGAATCACTGAGAGAAAATGGCTTTTTAATGGTACAATGCAATATAAACCCAAAACACTGGAAGTTAAAACTGATGGCCTCTCACTTCCTTGGATAATATCGTTGTTCAGGAATTTCTCCTCAAAAGAAGTAAAGTCATCACCAGATAAAACTGGTTTTAATGCTATAGAGTAAGCAAGATATGTACATTTTATTCATTCATAAAATTTATGATGTACTCTATCACATAAAATTTTAAGATAGTTAACATTTCCTACTCTAATAAGCTACAGCAAAAAATTTTTCATGTGCATTAGAAATATGATCTTTGTTGACATTCAAAGCACCTAATGACAAAATAAATTTCACTTATGGCTATGGCACAAACTAACTTTTACATTTGATCCATATATTTAAGTTCTTTCTAGATGTTTCAATTCTAACAAGGTATTTACCAAATGTTCTAATACTGATTAGGCTGAATTTGTTAAAGGTCAACTTCCTCTCATCCACTTATCTCACAAGATTATTAATGGATCTGATTTTTTTAAAAGAACATAAGTAATGAATTGCACCATGAATGTGCTACAATGCTGATTTTTACATAAATTGAACTTGCTATTAAACACTTTTTTCAAAAGAAATACCTTAGGCTACAAAATTGAATTTATAAAGCTAGTTTATTACCTGATTATTATAGAACATTTAAAGAAGAAAAATAATGAAACTAATAGAGTTCTACACCCTTCTTCTGTAAATCTATCAAGAAACATCAAGCATTCCCTAGATGATTTTGAAGTTATTGAATTACCATTAAGAAATGAATGAATGACTGTGCTTTTATGTGGTATTTAATTTCAAAGGGCAACCACATTCTGATTTAATATATTCAGTACTTCTTTCTGATAGTGAGCATTTGTGTAGGAAAATAAATTAGGTGAGAAACTATACTTGTGAAATTAATGTTTTAGACAAAAAGAGTATGAGAGTATTAAAAAAGGGTGACAGGAATATATGAAAAGAAAGGAATGGAAAAAAGGGAAGAATTGGAGGAAGAATCTAGGTTGATTTCTAATGCCAGTAGGTCATTCTTAGATTATGGTATAGGCATACTCATGTGTTACCCTGAGTTCCTTTCATTTCCACTGAAGGGATATCACAGCATTCAGTAGATAGCTTGCACATAGACTTTTAAGACATTTTGAAAGAATGAATTGCCCCAGGCAGACTACCATTGTGCCTATTAAAATGTTAATACCAATAATTTGGGGCATGCTCCTCAGCAAAGATCTTTATAAACCAAATGAAAGAAACAAAAAACAAAAATCAAAAGCAAGCAGATAAGCATATCCATCGTAACACAATAGGCTGTTCATTACGTGTTTTCCATTGTTTTGTTTTTGTTTGGTTTGGTTTGGTTTGTTTTTGCAAACTAGGTTCTACAATACTCAATGTAGTTACTTTATGCAACAAAAAGAATTAGCAACTGCAGAGGACTCTTTCCATTCAAATCATATAGAATCTAACATCCCATAACTACTTAATTTAAGGCCAGGAAGGAGAACACGTAAATCTACATAACAATTCCAGAAAATGGACAAAATGAAACAAAGCATTGTACCAAGGATTTTACCAAAATTAGCTACCAAATAGACCAAAGGAACCCTTAGATCATACTAAGATCTAAGTTTAGCATTACAGATTCCATGCCCCATCAAGTTACCTGCATAAATCACTAACTACGACTTTGTAATCACAGCATTATCCCAGCCAGGAAAAGAGGGGCCAGCACTGTGGCATAGAAAGTTAAGCAGCCACCTGCATTGCCAGCATCTCATATGGGCACCAGTTTGAGTCCCATATGCTCCACTTTGAATTCAGCTCCCTGGTATTGTGCTTGAAAAAGCAGAGGAAGATGGTCCAAGTGCTTGGTCCCCTGCACCCACGTGAGAAACCTGGAAGAAGTTCCTGGCTCCTGGCTCCTGGCTTCGGCCTGGCCCAGTCCCAGCCATTGCATGCCATTTGGTGTGTAAACCAGAGTATGGAAAACCTCTATCTCTCTCCTTCTCTCTCTCTGTATCTCTGCCTTTCAAGTAAAAAATAAATAAGTAAATGTAGAAGAAGAAGAAGAAGAAGAAGAAGAAGAAGAAGAAGAAGAAGGAAGAGGAGGAGAAGGAGGCGGCGGTGGCAATAAGGAAAAGAGTCTTATTTTTTTTTTAAGATTTTATTTATTTATTTGAGAGGTAGAGTTAGAGAGTGAGTAGGAGAAACAGAGAAAGGTCTTCCATCTGCTAGTTCACTCCCCACTAGGCACAGCAGCTGGAGCTGGGCTGATTCAAAACTAAGAGCCAGGAGCTTCTTCCTGGTTTCCCGCATGGGTGCAGGGGCCCAACCACTTGGCCATCTTCTATTGCTTTCCCAGACCATAGCAGAGAGCTGTATCAGAAGAAGAGGAACTGGGACTAGAACCAACACCCATATGGGATTAACCTGCTGGGCCAAAGCACTGGCCCCCAAGAGTTTTTTGATGAGTTTTGTTCTAGCATTTTGGGAAAAACTATCCACATTTCAGAAGTCATCTACATAGGAAAAAGCTTTTTTCTCTGTCAGGTTTCTGAAAGTCTCCAACAGATTTCTGTAGAGGTCCCCTTAAATTGTGAGACATGATTCCAAGTTGGAAATGCTTAAACTTAAATGTAGTGTGGGTGATAACTTGTAATAGTCTTTTCCAATGCAGTTTAAGAGAATTTTCTCTGGTTTTATCTGCAAATTTTCAAGTCTTGAGGTTCCAAATTGTGAAAAGTTTAGTTTCCATCAGTCGATGGGTCATGAAGAGGTCTTGTTTTATGCTTTTTGTTTTTTGACTTGGTAAAAATATGACTTGACACAATGCATTAAAACTCTGAATTATTCCATCATATTAGAATTTAGGATACTAAGAGATATATTTGGCTTTATTATTAAGGATATAGCCTTTCCAATAACTATTTTGTCCATTAAAGCTAATGGTATTACCCATGGTCAAGGCAATCCAATTGACCTTTCCAAATTTAACATCAAAGTGTTATTTATCATTTCAACCTTTCCAGAAGACTGAGGATAAGAGGGACAGTGGCAAAGCTACTTTGAACAATCTGTTTAACTGTAAACATGTCCAATTGCATTCTTTTCCATTAAAATGCATTTTAATAACTTTTTAACCAGTGTTGTAGCATTGGCCTACATGAAAAAGTTCTATAAAAAGAGAATGTAGTCAATTTCAAGAGCATAGTCATGCCCAGTTGAATAAAATCCCTTTCTAAACATTCAAATGCTTCATCAGATAACAAAAATGTATTACCAGTAATATTAATTGCTCCTCAAAGCTATAGGCTTGACAAGCCAAACAATGGTCCTAACCATTTTAGCAATTAAATTATTTGAAAGGCAAAGTGACAGAGAGAGAAGGAGAAAAAGGGAGAGGGGTATCTTCCATCGGCTGGTTCACTTTCCAAATACCCACAATAGTAAAGGCTCTGTTAGGCCAAAGTCTCAAGCTAGGAAGTACACCTGAGTCTCCCACATGCACGGAAGGAATGTAAGTACTTGGGACATCATCTTCTGACTCCCAGCAGCATTATCAGGAAGTTAGACCAGAAGCAAAAGTGGATCTCAATCCCACGTACTCTGATTTGGGTTGTGGGTTTCCCAGCAGTGGCTTAACCCACTGTAACACAATGTCTATCCCCATTCTAGCCAATTTAGAGAATTGCTCCAGCGTTTCTCCATAAAGTGTATAGATAAGTCAACATGAAGAACTTTTAGCATTAGAATACTAAAGACTCAGCAAAGACTGGCTGCTCATGCTTCTCATGAGTACACACATAATATTAAATTGTCTTCCTTCAATTACCAATCCCATTTGTCTAACTCAGTGGCATAGTACTGTGCATTAAATAGGCCACAACAGGCAAACTGACCCAGATTAATCCTATCGAATTCATTCAGGTTGTGAATCTTGACAATTTCAGCACTGGCTAACTAAAGAAAATCTACCGATGCATTTCCCTTTTATTCACTCGATTCCTGTTCTGTCTGATGTTGGATGAGCGATCTTAAGAAGCATACATTTCTTACTAGAAGTTCTAGAAATGTTTAGTCAGTCCCATGGTATCATCTGCAAGTTAGCGGAGGCTTGTAGTTTTCTGATTTTTTTTTTCCATGCATCTCCTTGAAGACTAATGGCTACAAGAATTCATTATAATAATGATGCAGTTGACCATGAAATTTGGTTATTTTTATACACACATATTAAGATAATAACTGGAACTTATTAAGATGCTAGGACTAGCAGATTTCTATGAATTTTATACCATGTTTAAAATAATTTATAGCACATTTATACAACTATAACTCAAAAGTCTAGCATCATATATTATTTGACACTGTTTCATAAAACATTTAATGTATCAAAAAGGACTAATTAGATTAGTAGTGTCCTTTGTACATTCCAGTAACCTTTCTGGAATGATAAGAAGTCAACTTTAAGTCAAAAAACCTAACAACGAACTAGATTTGGAGAAATCCATCAAAAATATCAATGGTTTAAAATTTTGATTAAAGTAAAGCACAGTGTGTGGAGATCTGATCTGGCATTTAAAACGCTGCTTGGGACACAAGCATCCCATACTGGAATGTCTGAGTTTGAATCTCACCTCCTCCCTCAATACCAGTTTCCTGCTATTGCACACCATGCAAGACAGCAGGTGATGATCAAGTAGTTGGGTCTCTGTTACCCATGTTGGAGACCCGAATTCAGTTCCCAGCTTCTACTTACTCAGACCTGGCTTCTCAAGTACTTGGGGAGTGAACCAGTCAATAGGAAATCTCCAGGTCCATCTGTCTGTCTGCCTGCCTTTCTATCTCTTTTCTTTCAAATAAATAAAAATATAGTTTTTAAAAATTTTAATTAAATAAAGTCATGGATGCAACAAGCACTAGGCATTAATCAAATTAGAATGACAAAAGACTTCAAAGGCAAATACTGAAAACTTCATAGCCACAGGAAAACTTCCAGCTCTTCCATAGAGATGACTGCTTTCCTAAGTAATCAGAAGAACTATAAAGCTCCATTTCCTAGTTAGAACAGGTTAAATCTCCTAGAAAACCTTGTTAATTTGACAGAAGGGAATCATATTCTAATTTTAAATAGCTATACTGTTTATATTAATGCTCAATTCTTAGAAAAAAATTATAAAACATTCCATTCCAGTTTTAGCCAGTATGATCACATATGAAATTTCTTTAACAAAGTTGATCCTTCCAAATATTCTCCATTTTCCTCCTTCCTTCCTTCCCTACCCAATCCTTCCCTTCCCTTTCTTTCTTCTTTCTTCCTCACTTACAAGCCAAACACACCTAGCTTCCTGATACGGAATAAAAACAAGATGTTCCACCAGCAAAATTTATTCATTATCAAACATGACTGTGAAATCATCATTACCAAATATGTATTAGATAAGTGGCAACAAAATGTGCTAACATGAGAACTTTTACATTCATTTTTACACATACTAATTTTACACATACTAATGAGTGAACAATTTCCTTTTTCTCGTGTTATAGGATATCAGTTTGGGTTCAATTTGAGACCACCAGCATGAAGTCAATGTCATAGTTAATCGAGTCACTGAATATTTTTCCCTAGTGCATATTAAAGTTGTATTATGCTATAATGTAGCACTGTAATCTATTAAGCACCATAGCAGTAGACATTTAAAAAGTACATACCCATTAAAAAGCTTCATTGCTAAAAATGCTAATAATAACTTACTCATTCAGTCATTTAAAATCTTTTTCACTGGTGAAAGGTCTTGATTGTTGCTAACTAATCAGGTTGATGGGTCTAAAGTTTGGGGTGGTATGAAAGTTTCTTAAGATCTCAAAGAAGTTTGCTGTATAATTGACTCTACTTTGCATGAAAGATTTCTCTGTAACATCTGATGCTATTTGATAGTATTTTTCTCACGGTAAAATTTCTCTCAAAATTAGAGAATGCACTCTCAAGCTGCTGCCACTGCTTTATGAACTCTGTCTATATAGTATTCTAGATACTGTTTAGTCATTTCAACAATGTTGACAGTATCTTCACAGGGAGTAGTTTCCATCTCAAGAAACTACTTTCCTTGCTCATCCATGTGGAGCAAATCCTTATCACTGAAACTTTGCTCACAAGATTGTAGAGCTTCAGTCACAGCTTCATGCTGTATTGTAATTCTAGTTTCCTTATTGTTTCTACCACATCTGCAGATACTTCCTTCATAGTCATCCATGAACTTTGGGATCAACTTCTTCCAAGTTTTGTGAATGTAAGTATTGTTCATTTCCTTCTGTGAATCATAAATGTTCTCAGTGGCATCTGGAATACTTCATTCTTACCAGAAAGCTTTCTATTTACTTTGCCAGTCACTTCAGAAAAATTCCTATCTATGACAGCTATAGCTTTATGGAATATATTTCTTAAATAATAAAACTTAAAAGTCAAAATTACTCCTTGTTTTATGCACTGAAAAATAGATGTTATATTTGCAAGCATGAAAACAGTATTACTCTTGTACATTTCTATCAGAATTCAAGTGATCTGGTACATTGTCAATATACCAGTAATATTGTGAGAAGAATCTTCTATTTTGAGCAAGCCTCAAAAGTGTGCTTAAAATATTCAAGAAACCATGTGGCAAACAGATGTTCAATCATTCATCAGTTGCTGTTCCATTGATAGAGCCCAAGCAGATGAGACTCAGGATAATTTGTAAAGGCCCTAGGATTTTCAAAATGGTGAATGGACATTGATGCCACCTTATAAACACAAGCTCTTTTAACCCCTAACAAGAGAATCAACATTTCCTTTGATGCTTTGAAGGCAGAAATTGACTTCTCCTCTCTAGCTATGATGATGACCTTAGATAGCAGCTTCTTCAGGTATAAGACTATTTTATCATCACTGAAAATCTTTCATTGGGGCCAGTGTGCTGTGGCATAGTGGGTTACCAACATGGCCTGAGACGCCAGCATCCCATATGGGTGCCAGTTCATGTTCTGGCTGCTCCACTTCCAATCCAGCTCTCTGCTATGGCCTGAGAAAGCAGTAGAAGATGTCCCAGGTCCTTGGGCCTCTCTGTACCTGCATGGGAGGCCGTAAGAAGTTTGTGGTTCCTGGCTTCAGATCAGCACAGTTCCAGCCATTGTGGCCAATTGGGGAGTGAACCAACGGATGGAAGACCTCCCTTTCTCTCTACTTCTCCCCTCTCTGTATAACTCTGCCTTTCAAATAAATAAATAAATCTTAAAAGAAAGAGAATGTTTTGTTTAGTGTAGCCATATTTCATCAGTTGTCTTAGCTATTTCTACTGCATAACTTGCTGCAAGTTATATCTCTACACTTGCTTTTTTGCCTTGTATTCTATGTAATGGAGATGGCTTTTATCTTTAAATCTCATGAACCAATCTGTCCTCCAAATTTTAAGTCTTTCAAACTAGCTTCAAACTTCTTTTGCATAGTTTGCTCATCTCTCCTAGAATTTGTTGAATTGAAAAGACTTAGAGACTTGCTCTGGATTAGGCTTTGGGTCAGAGAATGTTGTGGCAGGTTTGATCTTCTAGTCAGACCACTAAAACATTCTCTATATCAGCAATCATGCTGTTTCACTTTCTTATTATTCATGTGTTCACTGGAGTATTTTTAATTTCCTTCATGAACTTTTTCTTTGCATTCACAAATTGGCTGATTCAGGAGGCCTAGCCTTTGGCCAACTAAGCTTTCAGCATGCTTCCTTTACTAACATTATTAATTGCTAGTTTTTGATTCAAAGTGAAAGATATATGACTTTTCCTTGAAGAATTAGAGGCTGTTATGGGGTTACTAATTGTCCAATATTGTCAATATTCAGGGGGATATGGAGGCCTGAATACAGGGAGAGAGATGGGAGAACAGCTTGAATAGCAAGCAGTTAGATCACACACATTTATGTAATAAGTCTGCTTTTTAAATGAATGCAATTCAGCACCCCAAAATAATAGCAAAAGTAGCATTGAAGATCACTGATCACAGAACACCATATGCATTAGTAATAATGAGAAAGTTTGAAATATTGTGTGATTAACCAAAATGTGACACAAAGACATGGGTAAGCAAACACTGTTGGAAAAAAATGGGAAAAAATATGGTATCTATGAAGCAGAAGTAAGGCAAATATGGGAAAAGGAAGTATATCTGAACTTGGCATGATGGTTAATTTTCTTTATTTTCATACCTGTACTTGTGTATATATCTGTTTTTCCTATGACACTCCATGATAAAGGAACCACATCTACCTTGTTTGCCATTGTGTCTCTGGGACTTAACAATATAGTATACATAGGTTGATCAAATATCTGTGAAATTCCATGCATTGATTATCAGTCTCAACTAACTTGTAATTTCAGTACTCAATGGTTTTCAAATAATCTGGACACATTCCACATTTTTAAGATTTATTTTATTTATTTGAAAGACAGAGTTACAGAGAGAGTTAGAGACAGAGAGAGAGAGAGGTCTTCCATCTGCTGGTTCACTCCCCGGATGGACACAATGGCTGGAGCTGCGCAGATCTGAAGCCAGGAGCCAGGAGCCAGGAGCTTCTTCCACAACTCCCAGGTGGGTGCAGGAGCCCAAGGACTTGGGCCGTCCTCTACTGGTATCCCAGGCCATAGCAGAGAGTTGGACGGGATGAGGAGCAGCTGGGACACAAACCGGCGCCCATATGACATGTTGGTGCTGCAGGCAGAAGATTAACTTACTGCACCACCACGCCAGCCCTGACATTCCACATTTTTCAACTGTTGTCTCTTCAGAGAAATTACTATTTACCTACTCTAATGGACTAGTCTCTCACTAGTCAGTATCAGATTTATCCTGCCTTCATCAGATTCTTCTCCTCTAATGAACAACACAATTAGAATGATTGAGGAGCAAGTTTCAGTGTTTCAGCTTCCTTAACAATGGCCAGATATTTCATAAACATCCATCGCTTCATTCAACATAAGCTTCAAGGTCACCATTGCTGAAAAAGATTCCTGAAACGTCCATTCATTCGTAAATATCTATCCCATTTATATTCACCCAAATATATTGCTTTTAAAATTATATTGAATTTCTCATGATATAATGCTGGGCATTGACAAAGTTCAGGAAATACCACCTCAAAATGTATCAGTTTAGTTTACTGGTTGCTAGAAGGTAAGCAAGGCAGGGCTTTTAAATTCCCCATACAAGCCTAAAGACAGAGCCTCTTCAGTCCTCTGAAGATTAACTCTGAATCACACGAGATTTTACCACATGCAGACAGACCTTGCTACTTATTATCATCTGGTATTTTAAGGACCCATTCACCTTTATCAGCAGTCATTCACTCTGAGAATATTTTCTTCATCCCCCAATGATTTCACTCATTTCTGCAAGTGAATTGAAACAAGGGACCCTTGCCCTTTTGATAGACATGCTTGACGTCTTAAACAATTATTAGTATAGGTGTTCATTGTAGTCAGATTTCAGACCTAAGTATCCTCATCTGTGGAGAGAAAAAATAATGTGCAAGTAGGAATCCTCCTTAAAACAAATGGTCAAAGCTGTGGTTTGTTACAAAGACCATAACTCTTCTTATCTTCTCTATTGTAAAAGCCTCCAGCGACTCGGGCCCTCCTCTCTGTCTAGTGCAGCAGGAAAATAACCCCATTATTGGAAACTTCTTCCAGAGATGTAAATTTCCTTTACTACAAGTAATGCTCCAACTAACAAAAATAGGCAGCTTTCCAAAACAGCCTGCATTCTTTAAACTAAACAACTGAGATCAAGAGGAGGCCAATTAATGAACAGGGCAGACAAAGCGTCTCCCATGCTGGACTAGGAACCTTTCATTATTTTTCTGAGCTGAAGATTTAAACCAAGGTATAAAGGTAATTAAAGAAGCAGACACAGGGATCTAAGAGCTCAATTTCTATAAAGCAGTTATTTTTCATTTAGTCTTCTAAAAGTCTCTGTGTGCTAATTTAAAGAATACATTGCATTGTTTCTACGGGAATTTTAGATCCTTCATTTTTTAATATGCCAAATAAACAAATAATGTTATCCTAATTAAAATTTTCTCATTGTGGCCACTGTAATTCCAAATAATTTCTTGTAATGCTGACCTATTTCTCTAAAATAAAAGACAGATTCTGTGAATTCTTTCTTTTTTAAAAAAAGATTCATTTATTTTACTTAAAGTCAGAGTTATACAGAGAGAGGAGAGGCAGAGAGAGAGGTCTTCCATCTGCTGGTTCACTCCCTGGATGGCCACAACAGTTGGAGCTGCGCCTATCCGAAGCCAGGAGCCAGGAGAGTCCTCCGGGTATCTCACGCGGGTGATGGGGCCCAACAACTTGGCCACCTTCTACTGCTTTCCGAGGCCATGCAGAGAGCTAGATCAGAAGTGGAAAAGCCGGGTCTCCAACTGGCGCCCATATGGGATGCCGATGCTTCAGGCCAGGGTGTTAACCTGCTGCGCCACAGCACTGGCCACCAGATTCTGGAAATTCTTACACATGAACATGGCTGGAGTTCAAACGAAGAGTTCCAGACCCTAAATCCAATCCATTTTTTTCTGACCTAGACAGCCACCACAAACCTCAAAATGGTCATATGTCCTCTTACAACACAAACTAACTCTAAATATACTTCAAAAGATAGAATTCCATACTCCCTGAATCCAGATAACTCCAAGTTCCTTGTATTTTATTAGTCTTATCTACCTACTTAAGCCAGTTCAGTTTGCTTGTTATTTTTTCCAGGGGTGAGGAGCAGACAACCTACTGGTTGTCTGACTCAGTCAGCCATCTGACTGAGTGTTTTTTTTATGACTTACAAAAGCAATCTGGATCAAAAATTTGCTCATACTGAAACAGCTTAAAACAAAAACCCATGACAGAGAATTTATGCACAACCACTGTACACAACAAAATAAATAAATGAATAATAAACACAGTAGATTCAAATTCATCCCAGGGTTGAGAAGTTATTCTCAGGATCCTGTTACAGACAATTCTTTAGATCAATTAAATCTAGCAGTGTTTACTTGAGCAGTTATATGACAAAACATAAAAAGTGAAACAGAAGTGAACGGAACAAAAATGATTAATGAATCAGGCAGCTTCCAGAACCAGAAAAGGGTGTGAGGCCTCCCACTGACAACATGATCTGACAGCATTTACAGAAAATGGAAGTGAAGTATAAAGACAACTTTATTTGTTATAGAGCCTTCTGAAATGAACTAAAGCTACGTTATTGCGATTAAACATTACATCAGTTTAATCTGTTGAGTCTAGCACAGGAACCTAAAACTTTTATTTAACAATATATTGTGTCCTTTATTGTCACAACCCTATGGAATAAGTTTTACTACACACAGTTAAAAGTAGACTGAGAGATCAAAATATCCTATACAGATTGCCAAATGGCATGTAATGGTTAGATAATTTTTCAAAAACACAAAGCAGAATATTATCAACTAGGATTGTATTTCTGGTTACTATAATTCTAAAGCTTGTAACAGGCAGTGGTTAAAAAAATGGTGACTTCCAACACACAGAGCATGTTCAGTATGATGACCACGAAATCATTTCTTAGTTTCCTTCTAGAGGAAGCAAAAGTGTTTGCTGGTCCGATTTGCAGTGCTCCGAAATCTAGCCCCACATTTGAACGAAGGCTATGCTCTTTGTTTTCAGACAGCAACTCAAGAGGAAGCTAAGGAAGGTCCATTGCTTGGAGATACGGGACTCACCTAACGTGCCTAATGGGCAATTTTGACTCGACAACTCCTTTTCAGGCTTGTCCGTGCATTTTTTTTTTTTTTTGGACAGGCAGAGTGGACAGTGAGAGAGAGAGAGACAGAGAGACAGGTCTTCCTCTGCCGTTGATTCACCCTCCAAATCTTCATCTGCCATTGGTTCACCCTCCAATGGCCGCTGCAGCCAGCGCATCTGATCCGAAGCCAGGAGCCAGGTGCTTCTCCTGGTCTCCCATGTGGGTGCAGGGCCCAAGCACTTGGGCCATCCCCCACTGCACTCCCGGGCCACAGCAGAGAGCTCAACTGGAAGATGGGCAACCGGGACAGAATCCAGTGCCCTGACTGGGACTAGAACCTGTTGTGCCGGCACCACAGGCAGAGGATTAGCCTATTGAGCTGTGGCGCCACCCGCTTGTCCTTGCATTCTTAGAACTGCACTGCAGACTACCAACTCCTTTTCTTTCTTCTTTCCCTCCATCTCTCTGTCTCCTTCCTCCTCCCTTTCCCAGGTGTCAAATCTTCATTCCAGATGCACGATTCCCCCAAGTCCCTCTCCATTTTCTCTCTTTCTGGTATTTCTCCCTTTTCATTAATAATTTCTTCTGAATTCTGCTTTTTTTTTGAGAATCTAGAGTAATATATCGAGGATATTTGTATCTTTAAAGGACAAGTATGAGATGATTATTTTTAAGATATCTCAATGTACCTGCTCGTGTGTGAAAATTGTTTTACTGTTTGTCTCAGCTTTCCTTAGGAAGAATGCCTCTTACGTGGAGGCGTTAATCCTTCTAAAGAGTGGTGGACAATAAATGTGTGCTTTTCACTTTGAATCTCAGCAAGTCCTGAATTACATTTATCAAATTAGACTGCTCTATTTTCTTGTACCTTGCGTTACACTCTTTAAAGCTGAATTACATCTACTGGGCCTATTTTACATGATGGGTGCGAGAATTAAATAAGATATTAGATAAGATGCTCTTTGAAAGTATTTTAAAACAACCACATAAATATTAGTTCGCCCACATTCTTTTATTACATATAGATGTATTCAATACCTTGGGTCTTCATTAAAACATAAATAAATATACTTACCAGCTGTAAAAATATCATTGGAGGATTATGGATATTTTCTTAAGTGGCAAAATAAGTGAAGAAAACTGGTAGTAAAAGTCTCTCATAAGTAGTTGTGAGTTATACAAATTATTCTCCAAAGCACAAAATCCATCTAGCCCTTAATATGCATATTGGGAAAAATGGAGAAAAGGTAACACAGTATAGAAAAGCAGAGGCTTTCAAGCTACATGTTTTGGTTAAAGGGTTTGGCTTACCTGTTTAGATTTCTCTGTATCTTGATGTCCTCAGATGAAAATTTGGAATAAAAATTACTTCTGAGATTTGTTATGAAGCTTAAATAATATATAAATTATTAGAATTATTCTTAATTACCATATCATTATCTTAATAGTATTATTTCTAGTCCCTTTATCCAGTTAAAGAATAGGGAAAAATAACTGGGTCTCAAGTGTATAGGGAGTAATAGAAATTATGAATTATGATAGCTGATGTTTAATATGCATCTTCTGTATGCTCTAGGAGTGTTGCTTTGTAAATGCAATTTAATTTACTGAAAAAAAATGATTCTATGTGATTAGCATTTTTAGCTTGATTTTACAGATAAAACATCTGAGTTTCATAAAAATGAAGTCCTGGGTCAAACAGCAAGTTAGTGTGGAGGAGGGGGGGTGAAACTGAAACCTGATGTGTTTAAAGTTCATACTCCTAATGCTGGTGTTGCATTGTAAATTTTTCTGCAGTAGATTAAGCAGGCCAGGAGAAGGTATAGATAATGTCCTTCCTGTGCTTATTACTGGAAGTGTTGGAGAAAGAGAAATAATGGGGCATTCTCTAGTTACAGGAACTCTCAAGCCACCTCAAAAGGGGAAGTTACTTGTCTCTTTATGGGAATAGGATCATCTAATCATTCCTCTTTCCCTCAACTCCCAGTTTTCACTCAGGCGCTACTGAGACAATGAAGTCTGATTTTCCTTCATGCACGTACTCAAGTTTTCAAACTACTTTTACTCACCTGTGTATAGTAAAAAATCATTACAAAGTCAAAACTTTAACTTTAGGGCTAAAGGGAATAGACTACTGTTGACATACAATGCTTTCTCACACCTCATGTGATCAATTACTCAACAAATGCAAATGGTGGACCACTTACAAGCTGGGAGATGTAAAAAGTAGCAGTTGTTAGTATCACAAGGTCTAGGACTACCATCTACTCTGCTGGTCAGAGCAATTACAGAGCCAACCAAGACTCAGAAAGAGAGTAGGGAGATCTCACCTTCCCAGGAATGGAACTCTTGGAGTACTGTCAAAAAATTTTTGTTTTAATCAGCCAAAAAAGTCAAGTAATAGTTCATGAAACTTTGTTTCTGAACATATATGAGAGTATAAATTGTATAAACTATATGATGTATTTCTCTTGGTCAGTAAAGTTAAAAGATTTGTGAGAATCACTGTAGCTACATTTTTTTTTTTTTTATATTTGTTTGAAAGGCAAAGTGACAGAAAGAAAGTGAGACAGACAGAGAGAGAGATCTTCCATCTGCAGGTTCACTGCCCAAGGAATTCCAACAGTTATGCCTGTGCCAGGCTGAAGCCTGGAATCAGGAAATCTCTCTGAGTCTCCCAAATGGGATATAGGAACTCAAGCACTTGAGCCATCATCCTGTGGCCCAAATGTATCAGCAAGGAGCTTGATGGAAATAGCTGGGAGGAACTCTGAATTGAGATTCAGGCATCCCAAACAATGGCTTAACACAGAGAACTACCATGCCCTCCCCAATAATTGAATTTCATTCTATTCCAAAAATATACAACTTAATTAGAGGTAATGTTTCCAATTATGTATACAGTATCAATTTAGGTACATTTAAATTTCCTGAATATGAAATAAGGCAGTAATTGCCATTCTGAGGACAATTATTTCACAATATTTCTTAATTCCAAATTCTCCTCATATATCATTTGTAATCATAAGTTACAGAGGAATAAAATAGTGTGGGCTGTATTTTTCATTTATAAACATAGTATGTAGAGGATAAATGGCTAAAGTATGAAAACAAAAGTGATAATATAAAATAATTAATTGATGTAATTTGTGGAGCAGTTA